GAGGTTAAGATCAATATGTGGAATTTCAAGTTGAGTAAAAGAAGAGTTTTGAATTTCTAATGGTGGGGGTACCTTTTCTAATTTTCTAAGACTAGTCAATAGGAAAGTCCTATGGCTAGACCTAGACTACTAAAGAAGTTTCTAGACCTCAACCAAAAGTGAGGTCAACATGGTTTCTCAACTGAATTTTCCATTCTAACAAGCATGGAGCTTATTTCATGAGATGAAATAGCCAAATAGATGTATAACATCTCTCCTTGGACGGGCTTTGATAGAAGAGGCGGTGAAGCCAAATATGTCTTGAGTTGCTCAAAAGAAATTTGATAGTCATCTATCCATTGAAAATTAGTGTTCTAAGGACCTCTAAGTATCTTGAAGAATGACAGATACTTGTCCCCAGAACGAGCTAAGCAATGAGATAGAGCGGTTATACGACCATTCAAGTGTTGCACCTCCTTGATGTTCCGTGGGGGCACCATATCTCTCAGTGCCTTGATTTTTTGTGGGTTTGCGACAATTCCACGATGGGTAACCAAGAAACCCAGAAACTTTCCTGATGTGACTCCGAAAGCACATTTAATCGGGTTAAGTCGTAAATCGTATTGGCGTAAGAGTTGGAAACACTCCTCCAGATGAGAAATATGTTGGGATGCTTCCAGACTTTTTGACTTTTTACTAACATGTCACATGTCATCAACATAAACCTCCATTGGATGGTCGAGAAGGTTTTTGAAGACCTGGTTCATGAGTCGTTGATAAGTTGCCTCAGCATCTTTTAACCCGAATGACATAACCTGATAACAATATAAGCCCTTATCTGTTTGAAAAGAGGTGGTCTCCTCGTCCACTGGGTTCATCTTTATTTGATTGTTATTTGATTGTATCCTGAGTATGCATCTATAAAGCTTAGCTTCTGATGTCCATACGTGGCATCATCGAGTTGATCTATGCACTAAAGGGGAAAACTATTCTTTGGGCAAACTTTGTTGAGGTCTGTATAATCGACAGACATTCTCCATGAACCACTAGCTTTTTCACCATGACGATATTGTCCAGCAATGCAGGATGATGTACTTTTCGTATGAACTTTGATTCGAGAAGCTTGTTGACTTCTTGTTCGATAACTTGTAAGCGATCTGAGGCAAAATTGCGCTTCTCTGGATGACCGATTTGAAGTGTGCATGATTATTTCAGCGTAAACTCCCAGTATGTCGGTTGGGGTCCATGCAAAAATGTCTTAGTTCCTCTGGAGAAGATCCACATACTTTGACCTTTGCTCATCGGAGAGTAGGGAACCAAGCCGCACTGTCCTTGAGGAATGTTCGTCAGAGAGCGGGATGTGAACCAAGTATTACATAGGAGAAGCCCATTGGGATACATCTTCATATCAAAGATTGAAGTTCTCGATGTTGAGTGTCATTGGTGTTAACAGTTGATCACCTCGCACGACGCCAATCCCTGTTGGGGTTGGAAACTTGAGCTTCAAGTGTATTACAGAAGTCACGACGCCAAAAATTGATTGCAGAGGTCTCCCGAAGATGGTATTATATGTCGATTCTAACTTGACAACAAGGAACTGGACTGAATGGTTTATCTGTCAAGAAAAATCTCCCAAGACGACAAGGAGATTTATTTTTTCCTCGGCCCTTACCGGTCGATTATCAAAACCATATAATGGTCTAAATGCATGTTGAAGTCTTTACCTCGTAAATCCCAAACTGAGAAAAGTTTAATAGAACAAAACCTCCCATTGTCGATCAAGATCCTATTTACATTATAACAAGACTCACCAATTCTTGCGCTAATGACGAGAGGATCTTGGTTGAGGACTCAAGCTCCTTCCAAATCAGAATTAACAAAAGTGATAGGCTCGAGACATAATTTCTTCTACATTGGTTCACCAGGTACAGTGATAAGGACTTAATCAGTCAGCAATGGGCCTCCTGCAATTGTCTGAATTTCACCCACGACTGGGTGACCCCCATGTTGTTGCTTTTGTATTTGTTGCCCCAGTAAGAGCATTATCATTACCAGCAAGTTTGTTTTATATAAATTGACCAAGATATCCCTATTGAATCAACCTTTCAATTTCATCCCTAAGGAGCTTACATACCTCAGTGGTGTGGCCACGAATTCAATGAAAATGACAGTATTGTCTTGATTTTTTGAGTTAGGTTTTAGGGGGTGAGGCCAATTAACAGCTTGCTCATCTTTGATGGCCATCAAGATGTTAGCACACGACATGTTGAGTGGTGCATATTCTTTCTTGGGTTGATATTCAATTTGTTGGCCTGCAGGTTGGAGGAGGATATCACGATTCTTCGGTTGTTCAGACTTTCTCCGTTGTGAAAATTGATTATTATCTTTGGAGTTATGCTTTTGCTTTCCCCCAAATTTTTCGAACTGCTCTTTGTGTGCATTGATGACCTCGTCTGCAGTGATTTGGGCCTCAACACAATGGACAATATCAACATAAGAACGAATTATCTCCCACATCAATGATGAGTAAAAAAGTCCTAGGCGGAGCCTCCAAGGAAGAATCCCCTTAATAACTCTGGATTTACTCCTGGAATCTGACTGGCTTCCTCAGAAAATCAGTGGAAGTAGTTGAGAGACTCTCCTTCACTTCGACAAATTCTCGAGATATGGGATGAATCCTTAACTATCCTTCGATTTGCGATGAGCTGTTCCGTGAATAGTCTGACAAGCTCGTTAAAGGTGTTTACAGTGTCTGCTAGTAGAGAGTAAAACCAGGTTCGAGCTTGTCCTTTAAGAGTTGTAGGGAACACTTGACACAGAAGCACATCAGAGACATGTTGAATGTGCATGATAGTTTAATAATGATCTATATGCTCGTAGTGGTCGGTTATCCCTTCAAATGTATCGATGTTCGGAAGCTTTAAGCCTATTGGGATGGGGTGTTGGAGGACCACATCCGCTAAGGAAGAGGATTCAAGGATGTTACAGTGAGTGTAGAGCTGATCCTTTTTCTCGAGGGGGAACTCTTCCCGGATGAGGCGTCGTAGTTCATTACGAATGACTACATCTGGAATGACAGGAAGATGTGACAATGTCAGATGAGCTGCATGAGATGGATGAGTGAAACTTGCAGTATCTAAGAGTTCATCATCACGACCTAACAGGGGAAGTGTTCCTTCTTAAGGAGGAGGGCCGATATGAGTTCCTTCGTGCGGTATGTTTCTCATGGTTTGTGGATTTAATGGTAAACAAGTTTCGTTCATCGGTGTGGACAACAGTTGTTGGGTCCCGCATAAGAGTTGTATAATCTCCAGTTGAGATTCCTCCATTATTCACATTTGTTCTTCTAAAAAGGACACGAAACCCCCTCGTTGGAGGGATAACGTCTTCCAGGGCGAGAAGATGAAGAAACATGTTGCCCTTGACTTCATGACTGCTCCCTGAAACGATGAGTGTTGGAGTGAGGTGCTCCGTTATCTCGAATGTTTTGCCTGGTGGCCATGTTGGAAATTGAGTAAGTACTTCAGTTGTGGGATTGAGAGATTCCCACAGACGGCGCCAAACTAATGAGAGCTAGAAAAATCTGCGGCGGTAGATTAACGGATTATCGTCTTAGCGTTATACGATAATTCAACACACACACAGATGAAAGAGAAACAAGAAGTGATGACTCTAGAAACGTTTATGTGGAAAACCCAAAAAGGGAAAAACCATGGGGCCTAACCCAATTGCAAAAATACACTATTGATTGATGATTATAAAAATCTTGTCCCATAGACGAGAAGGGTTACTAGATTTTCAGATTACTGCGTCGGCTGACGACGCCTGGTTAGTGGTAATTGATGATAATTGGTGGTGATTGACGATAGATGACATATGTCAACGGAAGTCGACGTTGGTCGAGAGCGGTGGCCGATGGAGGTCGACGGTGGTTGACGGCTGACGGCGATCGACGGTGGTCGATGATGGTATGCGATGATCGATGGAGGTCAGCGGTGGTCGACGACGGTCGACCGTGGACGAAGGAGGTCGACGATGGTGGCTGGCGGGCGGTGGTGGTCGACGGCGGTCAACGATGGCAGGGATGATGTTGGACTTGAACTCCTTCACAAAGTCTTAAGTTTCCTCTCAAGCCTCTTCTTCCATGTGAGTGGTGAGACTCTATTTATAGTGTTCTGGGTGTAATTAATGCAGTAATATGAACAATTTTGATCGGACGGTCTGGAGAGCTTCCCTCGATCAAATGACATTTGATAGACATTTGAGTGCCTTAACGATGTCTGAATTGAGCAATATTGGACTCGCTGGATTCGTCTTGTCGAGACGCTCAATTTTATTATGAACTCGCTAGATTCAACATCTGTTTGTCCAAATGCCTCCAAAAATCTTCCAATAGTAGTTTAATGATTTGATCATTTTCATCGAGCCGGTCAGTTTGACTATAAGTTTACTTAAATCAGACTCATGATGACTCTTAATTGAAGTTTGAATGTTTTTTGCTCAAAAGTTTGTCTTGAGATTCGTGTCATGCCTCGTGATTTATGATGAATGATAAAAATTTGTTGGTGCTGTATCAAGTTTATTTTTAAAAAATAGTTAAAAGAATAAAATACTACACATAACTATCAATTTTATAACGTATAAAACTCCCCATCTATTAATGCCCTCGATATAGTGCATTGATTGCACACTTAGATGTCACCGACTGCCAAATCCAACCTAAAGTCATTGCATTCTCATTCTTCTTTATATTTATTTGTACATTTAAAGCTTCAACATATATATATATATATATATTCATGCATGATTGATTTTCATTTTCAGCTCAGAAATCAATTTCAATGTAAAAAGTTCCGTAGGAACACCCAAAAATCAAACCCGTCCCTTCTCTCGCCTTACCTTCCAACTGTAATGTAACCCTCCGCACTTATTACTCGCAAGTATTTCACTCTATAAAACATTATTTCATTTTTTTTTTATTTTTTAATTCATAAATATAAAGTTGCTGGAGTAAATTTTTATTCTTTTAAGAGCATAATATTTACTGCACCCATCCTTCTTCTTCTTCTTCTTCTTCCAGGTTTCTAGACTTCCGACTTTACGCCCTGTTTTCTCTTCCCATCTGAACAGCAAGCAGCATAGCAACTCTGCAATCCTCTCTACTGCTCTCTTACTGTGGCGGCATCTATAGCAACAAGAAGCCCCATCCAAAAATCATTCTTTTCCAAGCTTCATACCACTTCTATACCAAGCAGCTGCTTTCTGTATAGACTATGGATAAAATCGGTCGTTCCGTCGCCGCAACCAGCTCTTCTTCCTCCTCCTCCGCCACCGCCACCACCACCGCCACCTCCGAAGCCGCCGTCAACAGTTTCAGCGCCGAGAATAGCAATAGCAGCACCGTCTGCAGCGGCCGCTCGACCACCAGCAACTGCTCCAACTACATATCCAACTCCTTCCGCTCGCTCAACAAGTCTTCTTATAAGATCTCGAAGCCCATCTCCAAAAACCCTAACCCTAGCCCAAATCTAATCCGTCCTCCTCCGCCGCCGTCTTCCGCCATCAGCACCGTAGGTGGAAGCGGAAACAGTGTCCCACAGCAGCAGCAATCTCAACCTCCGGTCTACAACATCGACAAGAACGATTTCCGCGACGTAGTCCAGAAGCTCACCGGCTCGCCGGCGCACCTATTTAACCGCCCACTAACCCCACCGCAGCCGGCGGCGGCGGTCGCGGCGATCTGGCGACAACCACCTTTCCCCTCATCCATCCCCCAGCCACTTTCACGTCTCCACCGTATCCGCCCGCCTCCGCTAGCGCAGCTACCACCACACCACCCTCCTACTCCGGCCGCGCCTCCTCTCGTCGGTGATGGTTGGGTACGGCCTCCTCTCTCTCCGTTGCCTCCCTTTCCGACGGTTAGCGCGGCGGCGGAGTCGCCGCTCTCCGCGTACATGCGGCGGGTTTCACAGGGGACTGCCCTCGGTATCCCCCTCCCAGCCGATCTCCGCGTACATGCGGCGGCTTCACAGTGGACTGCCTCTGGTATCACCGTCACCACCGGGGGTGGCGCCGCCGCAGCTGCTTCCTTTGTCGCCGCTCTCTTTTGGCTGTGCCCCGTCACCTCAAACGGCTTCTGCTTACCAGGCCATGATGTCGCCCTCTTTACTATTTCCTACCTCCCCTGGCATGCCTATACCAAGCCCCAAGTAAGGGACGATTTCTCATCCGTCTGCTTTTCCCATCAGATCCATCTCTGCACGGTAAGTTAAGCTGCAACTGCGCTGGAGATTCACATAGTTTTTTTTTTCTTAATTTTTGTAAAACAAGCAGTGACTTGTGGTTTGATTTTGCTCATATGTTCTGTATAAATGAAGATGTAAGGCCAATCAGCACATGATTTGCTTAAAGTTGCTGTTTTTTGTAAATGGAACCTTGAAATATTACAGCTTTAAGATGTTAGTTCTAGTCCAGGAGACAAATAAGCTATTTTGTGGAAGGTTTTGAAGTTTCTGTGGATTTTGGAGATTTTGTTGGGCAGTTTGGCAACGAGTGGGATTTAGCAGATCTGGAAATCCAGATTTTTAGTGAATTTTGAGAGGATTAGAACTTGAAACTATTTGGCATCAGGACTGGTAAATCTTGGTTTGCTTCAGCGAAGGAGGAAGATCTCTGCTTCGGCTTTATCGGTTTCAGTATCCGGATTGAGGAATGATTGGTGGAGGCCTTGCCTTTGTCCTTTGCCTTCAGCTATGGCGATTGGCTGCCTTTTCTTGCGATTGACCAACGGGGACTAGCAGCAGATAATGGAGCTTTTACTGTTTGTGCTGCCCCACAGGCACGTGAATTCAATTGTAGAATTGTCTTGGTTGCTTAAGATTATATTTTACGTTTAATTTACTATATATTTTTAAAAATGAAATATACATTTTCATGCTTAAGTTCATGGCACCAAGGTGCTAAATGTAAATATTACACTTTAGGTGTTAGATATGCAAATAGAAAAGAATTGTGTGGTATGTATGTAAATTTATTCGGAGCAAATTTAAGTCGAATATTCGAACAAAAAATCATCGGTTAGGAGTTTATCTGGTCTTTAATTTAAGATTTGTGAAAGTGCATGTGACTGTGGTGCCTGTACTAATTAATTTTATTATAACTTTGAAAGGGATCTACTTTGACTGCGATGTTTGCTTAGTTGAATACAGTTATTTTCTTCAGCTGGCTTGATGAGTCTGGCGATGCATGAATTACATAGTTTTTTTCCTTTTTATATTGAATGATTATTATTAAGATTAATTGGATGAGGATATTTTGATTAAAATTTAGTCAAAATAAATTTGAAAATTTGTAAATTATCTTCGGGTAATTCCAATTCAACATGACAAATCCAATGATATCAAAATTGGTTCAATCTCGGTACAATCAATTGGATGATCAAATGAATTTTAAATTTGACATATTTATAATTAAATTGATTGTATCAACGAGTGGGATACAACTAGCCTAAGATTTTTAAATTTTGACATCATTAAGCACCCAAATTCTCACAAAATCATTTATAATTAAAAGGGATCAACATAGACTATTTCATATGATTAAAAAAGTTACACACTAAAAGATCAAAAAGCCCCATCTCTAAAAGCCCCCTCTCTTCACTTAAGAGTGGGAGGGGTAAGAGAATAAAAGAAAAAGTGGAATTCAAGAGCTTGTTTCGGAGAATACCTGACGAGTAACCATCGGCCTGTAACTGTCGGCCACCGTCGACCAACATCCACTGTCATCACATTGTGCTGCAGACAACTTGTCATTGGCGATCATTGCTTGCTATCATTGTAGCCAAACAACGATATATGTGACCAAATATTACTATTGCAGCCACCGACTACACTTTTTTATTACCAACTACCTCTTTGTAGCAGCCAACTATGGTTTATGTAGCCAACCACTAATATTATAACTTCCAACTATAACTTTGTTGACCTCATTTTTGGTTGAGGTCTAGAAACTTCTTTAGTAGCCTAGGTCTAGCCATAGAACTTTCCTATTGACTAGTCTTAGAAAACTAGAAAAAATATCCTCACCATTAGAAATTCAAACTCTTCTCTTTGCTCAACTTGAGATTCCACATATTGGTCCTAACCTCTAATATTTAGAAGGTAAGATCATTATGGGAGAGCTCAAGAAGAGTTCTTATAGGGTTACTTGGCCTTAGGATTGACCCTGGGTGTTGATTTGAAGCAAAGGTACATTATAACATTACTATATCTTAACAATACACTAATTAAGACT